CCTGTCTCTCACCCATTGACTCCTCAGTCTATATTTTCACTGACTACCTGTCTTGTACGCAGACCAGCCCAGCCTCTGGCTTCTTTACTTTTCATTCCATCCAGGAAAAGCACACACCAACTGCAGAAACTTCCTTAGCCTGACAAAGGGTTTTTGAACCCGAAAGCTTAATAATAATTATTTTCCAACTTTTTAAGTTGGTCTAATAAAAGATATCGGATTCACCCAAAGAACCTTGTCTGCCTATGTCCTTACACCAGCATTGCTACAACCTACACCCCTGTATCATCGAAGTTAAAGCATTTCTTTATTTCGGAGGAAGTGCTGACCTTAAACCCAAAAGTCAGGTAAGGCTCCCTGGGAGGGACTGGGGTTTTGCATCTCCTGCATGAACGAGCGGCCCCACGCACGACCCTACATTTTGAATGCTTTTACTACTCCTGACCACACATGGCACCAGGGCTGAAATCCCTCCATCCCCTCGCCTCGCCCCGCCCCCCCGGCCAGTGCCCAGCCTCGCGGGCCCAGCGCGGTGGGAGGGAAAGAAATACTGTCACCATGGCGACGAGGGCGGGGCAGGCAGGCCGGAAGCCCCCCTGCTGCCACCAGTTCAAATGGCGGACGCGGCTCCTGATTGCAGCGACAGCGGCAACGTCACCACGCAGCCCGCAAGGCCCCACCCCCTCTCTCTCCGCTAGTCATTGGAGCTGAGTAGGGACTGCAGCCCTCCGCGCATGCGCGCTGGGTCTCCATGCGGGAACCGGCGGAAGATGTCGGCACAGGGTGACTGCGAGTTCCTGGTGAAGCGCGCCCGCGACCTGGTGCAGGGCGACCTGTGGGCGGCCAAGGCCTGGCTCATCACGGCGCGGAGCCTCTACCCGACCGACTTCAACATCCAGGTCGGAGCTGCCGCCACAGCCCCGGCCCCGGCCCCTCGCATCTTTTCCCGCCCTGCTTCGCGGCTACCGCTAGCCCCGCCCTTTCCCCGCGGGGAGGCATGGGAGTGATGCAGGGGCAGGTGCCGGGTGCAGAGGCGGGGCGGAGGCAGGTGCCGGGTGCAAAGCAGGGTGCTGAACCTGGGGGGAATGAGAGGATGCAGGGGAGGTGCTGTGTGCAGAGGTGGAAGGCTTCTTGGGTCAAATGGCAGTTTGCCCACTTTGAGGTTGTCAGGGCTGCCAGCGCCGCTTTACTAGGAGCTTAGACTGGTGGGTCTGTCTAGGAGGCTTGGGATAGGGATGCTCCAGCCTCAGGTAGGGCTCATGCTCAGCATGACCCACCCAGATACCCTCAGTGAGGGCGAGGGCACCTGGTGGACCAGCCTGTACTCTATGCTCATCCCATGAGCTGCTGGGGACCTCAGCTGACAGCTTCTCCATGGAGCCATCACCAGGGGCATGTGTCTGCCACATTTCATGGGCACCTGTGACAACTGCCCTTTCCCTCTCCAGAGGGAGACCCTGGCACACACTAGCCTCAAGTGCACCAGGCTGCAGCCTCATCACTGCCTCCAAGAGCCTCCTGCTGAGGTTCTGGCTGCCCCCTTGCTCCCTGCACCGCTGTGTTTATGCACTCCGCATCAGGGGCCAGACCAAGTCCCAGGACCTTCTCTTGCCTCTAGCCAAGCTGCCCATCCGTTTGTCCAGAAAGGAAGCTCTAGACCAGAGGATCCCCAGTGGCCATGGGGCCATCTTTCTGTCCCTCATTTGTTCACATCTCTGGCAGAGTTTCACTGGGCATTTTGTCCTCTGCTTCCTTCGTCTTGTGGGAGCTAGGCGAGGTGCTCTGCTTCATATCTCCCCTTGGGATACTTGTTATTAACCTTTGACTTTCCCTTCCCATCCCTGTTATCTCACTGGCTTTCCCTGGTATTTAGTTGTTATGCATTCAGTCAGTTGCCTCCCTAATTAAAGGAGGCTCATGATTTTCTTAGTGGGTTTAGGCCTATCTGTTATGTTAGTGCATAACAGATAGGCCTGCGTCAGGCAGGAGTGGGGCTGGACTAGATGATGTCTGGAGGTCCCCTCCAGTCTTGCTTTGTTATTTCTGTGACTTCAGCCTAGTCACACAGTTATAGTTGAACATGTCAGTTTCTGATCAGAGGAGAGGTACCTGGCCAGGTTAGGTAGGTGGTAGCCAAGATACAAGTATGCCTTAAACTAACTGAATTGGAGATGCATCAGCTTGTGGGAGCCACCACTCCCTTCATCTCTGAGCCAGTCAGTCCAAGGGTGTCAGACTCACCTTGTGCCCCAGACTGAACTGGGGGCTCCTTGCAGGTGGGATCCAGCCTAGGATACAATGTGGCTCTGGTTGGGGTCATGTAGCAGCAGCTCCCGGACAGGGCAATGAAAGGGCCAGCAGTAGTGCTGTAGTGGTTGCAGTGGGCAGAGTGGCCAGAGGGTGAATGGGGCTGTCTTTGCCTCATTCAGCTTTCCTGCTGCTGGTTGCAACAGCCACTGGGGCCCAAGGTCCCTGGATTTAGCAGGCCCTTGCTCCTGGCTACACTCCCCAACTAGCAGTTCCCTGCTGGCAGTTTCATAGACATTAGGGCTGGAAGGGACCTCGCAAGATCACTGGGTCCAGCATCTTTCCCAAGGGGCAGGAAGTCAGCTGGCATCAGATCAGCCCAGCAAGATAAGCATCCAAGCTTTTTTTTTTTTTTTTTTTAAAGGTATCCATAGTAGCTGCTTGCATCACATCTGTGGGGGAGTCTATTCCTGACTCTGGAGGCTTGGGCAGTAAAGAAGTTTTTCCTTATGTCCAGTCTAAAACAGTCTTCCAGCAGTTTGTGACTGTTAGATCTTGTCTTCCCTTGAGGTGCCCTGGTGAACAGATAGACATTTTCCCAGTTCCTGATATACACCCCGATATACTTAAAGGCTGCTACCAAGTCACCCTTGAGCCTTTGCTTCTCCAGGCTGCAGAGTCCCGTGCCTTTCAGCCTCTCCTCATAAGGCTGTTCTCTTGACCTCTAATCATGCACACGGCTCTCCCCTGGACTCTCTCAAGCTTCTCCACATCCTTTCTGAAATGTGGAGCCCAGAATTGGATGCAGTACTCCAACTATGGCCTCACCAAGGTTGAGTAAAGTGGGAGGATGACTACTTGGGTCTTGCTTGAGATGCACTGGTAGATGCAAGCCAGAGTTTTATTTGCTTTGCCGGCTGCAGCATCACATTGGTGGCTCACGTTCATCTTGTGGTCAGTCATAACTCCCAAGTCTCTTTCGGTCATGGTGCTAGTGAGTGTAGCACTGCTGAGCCTATAAGTATGATGTGGGTGTTTTCTCCCAAGGTGGAGCACCTTGCATTTCTCCATGTTGAATTGGAAGTTAGTTCAGACTAATGCTCTGAGTTAGTCTATAAGGTGCACCTTTACCCTGCCTATGCCTTAATTCATGATGTGAGAGTCTTGTCCTCTAAGAAGCCCTGATGAGCAAGTGCCCTTATACCCTGCCTTTGGGATGGCCAGTATCCTTTTTATTTTCATAGCTTCATAGAAGGCACAGCCATGGTAAGTTACACATTGGACAGCTCATAATCAGCAGGAGGTTTTCTTGTTTTTTTTCTTGCGCTAGGCAAAAACTCTAAAACCACATTTCTTTAAGCAAGAAGCTTACTTCGCTGAGCCTTCTGCATCAGTAAAAATCTGATTCATTTAGCACTCTCTGCTTTCCAGAAAAGCTAGGTTTTGTCTTGTGCTTTGTGCATCCCTTTGCACTTCACTGGGGATGCTCAGGGCTTCAGAGCAACATTTGTCTGTTTTGAGTTTACTGAAAAGTAAACCATGCAGAACCAGTCCATTGGCACAGAATCCTGAGTCCCACCTGTATAATCTTTTCAAGCAAAAGACAAAGGTTGTTATCCCCTTTAGAGGAAAACCATGTCCCAGTTCCTATAGAGAAGATGTAAGAGGATCTATAAATGAGGTGGTTTAAGAATTTCCATGACAACTGCTTGTTTGAATTGTTTACTATGTAGCTGAGCTTTCACTCCTTGAGGCTGAGGTTTTCCAAATTTTGTTTCTCTCTCGAGGCAGTCTTTTTCTACCCCCCGCCCCCAGGGTGAGCAAGCATCTAATGTACCCCCCCTCCCTCTAATGTTAGTCCCTCGCTCGGGAGATCTGAATTTCCCTACCGGCTTTGTCATCTTTTTTGGATTCACAATCCTAAATGTGTACTAATAAAAGTCAATCTGGGCCTGGGGAAGCAAGTCATCCCCTAGTGGCTCCCTGGCCCCCTCCTTGCTTGCTCCTTCTGGCCTCTCAGGGTCCCACCCTGTTGTCTTAGGTCTTTCTCTGAGCTGAGGCCCTCCTGGCCTTGGCCCACTTTACTGTAATCTAGCTGGGACCCTCTGCCTGAGCTCCACTGTCCCAGGACCTTTTGGTTCCTGGGCCGCATGGCTCTGGTCTTTTCTGTCTGACACCACAGTCCTTCTGCCAACAGCAGTGCTCCCCTCCTTCAAAAGGGCTGAAATCTGGGGTGCCCTTGGCACCTTTCTCAGTGGCTGCCTCCACCCTTACAGGCACAGCCCAGTCCTGCAGTATTTAAACAAAAGTGACAAAATCTGGGCATCTGCTCTCAAACAAAAGGTTTCCTAACCCTGGGTCAACACTACACCATGCAACGAGCCACAACAGAAGTCCCCCAAATACTTATCTTTTGCTGCCTGGTGGTGCAGAGGCTTCCTTGCAGCTTCCCTGCAACTTGGAGTCCTTTGTCCTTGGCCACTTGGGCTCCTTTCTTCCCTGGCATCTTGCAGCTTGCAGGGCCAGACTGCCCATTTTGTCAGGCCTTAGGCTTATATGTCTCTCTGGATCACCTGATCTAATACTTCTGCCCAGGGCCTGTCAGTCACTGACTGGTGCTGGCTGCATTTGAGGCAAATGGCCATTTTATTTATTTATGACTGCCACCATCAGTCAGTTTGTCCAGGAGGCTGGAGCTGACCAACTGAACTGTGGCTCCCTCTGACCTTCAGTGATTGGGAAGGGACCCCATTACAACCCCTCCCTCCCTTTTCCCAGGCTTATAGTCCAGTTGTTCCTGCTGGCTCACTTCCTCAGTCTTCCAGGAAAAGAAGTCTGCATTGCTCTGCTGTTTTCCTTGCCAGTGCTCTATGTGAAAGTTTAAGAGTTGCAGGCTTAAACACCAATAGGTTGATTGGGAGTTGTCCCCCTTCATCCGGTGGAGCCATTTTAAAGGTGTGTGGTCCGTTGCTACTGTGACTTTCTTCTCCAAAAGGTAATAACAGAAACTCCTCACCACCCACTTTATGGCTAAGCATTCTTTTTCAGTGATGACATATGATCATTTGGGGTGGGGGGAGTGGGGTGTAATTTGTGGCTGATATAAGCTACTGCCTGGATATTCTTCCCTGTTTTCTTTTTTGATAGTACTTCCCCTGCAGCCATGTTGAATGTGTCAGCTTGCACCAGAAATAGTCTTTCAAAGTCTGGTGCATGTACCTCTGCTTGTAAGCATAGGGCATCATTTGCCTCCTGGCAACTCTTTGGTAGCTTCAGGAGTCCATTAGACTTTGTTTGAGGCTGCTGCCTTAGCTCAGGTAGGGGTGTTGTGAGATCAGAAAACATAGGCCCCAGCCAACAATAATAGTTAGCTAGGCATGGGAAGGCTTGCACCTACCTTTTCATACATGGCATAGGGTAGTCCTCCTCCAGTGCTTGCTTTCTGTCAGCCAAGGGCTTCATTTCCCTGCTTCCCACCAGGAATTCAAGGTATTACATTTCCTCCTTGCATAGGGCACACTTTTTAATGAAAGTGGACTTAATAAAGAATCCATTCTTCTAACATTGCCCTGAGAGCTCTCAGGTGTTTGTCCCACCTCCATAAGAAAAGTATTACACCATCAATGTGAACAATGTGAATCTTAGTAGGGTG